TCTGGAGCTAGTCTATACCACCAGCTGGATTTGATGGCAGGTATATCTCCCAGCCAGGACCCTTCTCTGCAGGCTGAAGTTTTGGTCCGGTGATCTTAAAGATGCCAACATGTTAGAGTACCTCTGACTCATCGAAGCTGTGCTTACCCTAAACCCTCTCCTGACCTAGCAGTGAGATGACCTGTCGGTGGCTTGAGGTTTGTACTGCATCTTTAAACAACTTTTGAGCCTCAGTTTCCTGTGGCATCTGTAAATGGGGGTGATAGCAGTCTCTCCTGATAGGTTTGCTGTAAATCAATGAATGCACATAACGTGCTTAGCCTGGTACTTAACCTAATGTTTGTGCTCGTTAAGTATCCGCTGCTTGTATCATAAAGGTGTATGCTCTCTGCGATCTCTGTCACCGCCTGTTTTCATGGAGACGAGGAGCAGTCTGGTAATTATGAATCGCTGATAATGACTTTGCAATTTCCATATTATTTCATTCACTGGGACTCTGTTAATTTGATTTAGATAGAAGCTGACCCAAAACTTATTTTCATACAAAACAACAACAAAAACCATGCTGAGAAAATGTATAGTATAAAGTGATTGTCATGGAAACAGTGCCTATTTCAGAGAAAAAGGTCTGTTTTCCAGCATTTTAGGAGCACCCACTCACCTACAATAAAACAATAATTGTAAGTCATGTTTTATTTCTTCATTAAAGCAAATGGAGCCTATGAAATAGGCTAAAAATAAAGCCCATGAATCTTTCAATGAATATTTTGTTAGCCAGCCTGGTCTGAGCTCTTACATGTAATTAAGATGAATGACTCTCTACTCCATTAAGGATAGTTTATATTTTATACTTCCCCCCACGTCTCTGTTTTCTCAGCCAGCATGAAAGGGGAGGTTTCCATGGGGCTCAGGAAAGCCAGCGCATCTTGGAAGGATGTGTGCTTATTTACACTTCTCCGTCGTGTGCTGCTGGTGGGCTTGCTCATCAACAGTATATGTGGTTTCCAGTACAGCCCCAGACAGTTACATACATGTGAATGTATGTACAAACACTGTCTAACTTCTGTAAGGATGCAGAGAATAAAAAGTACATATATATAAGATAGGATTTTACTACACTGGTCCGTAGAATGATGTTGACGTTGGTGGACAGCTGGGTTTCCCTAGTGAACTGCGGGTTAGGAGACGGCCTGTGTGGAGCAAGGGGACCTCATTCTGTGCCACGCATGTGCACATTTCCCCCGCCACCTTCACGCCACTGCTGTAAGTGGCCCGAAGGACAGGCACTGAGCCTGTGTCCGCTGTGGCAGTACCACCCTCACTCAGTTTCATGCCAGAGCAACTCTTCCACGACAGCTCTTCTGCAGCAGCGGCCGCCAGCGAGGCCGGCCAGGCCCGGGCTCAGAGACAGGCCTCAGCTCCGCACGTCCCCCGCACCCAAAGAAGCACCAGATCTGGGGGCGCCTCTCCCATCCGGCCTAAGTGAACCCCTTCCTTTGGCCCAGCTCTGAAGGCCATTCCAGAACCTCCTCCAGGACCGAGGGCACACAGCGGCTGAGAACGGCACTTCCCGGTGGGGCTGAGGCCCGGGGAGTCCTGAGCACACCACAGAATGTCACTGAACCTTTCTCTGATCTCACATCTGGGCCGCGCCCCCTTTCTGTCTGTCTGTCCCCCCACACACAGAGTGGAAACGCCTTAGCCCCTGAGCCACGCAGGTGCAGCTACAGCCTTTGCCTGGAAGTCCATTCTGGGCCCCGGGGTGTCCCACATGCCTCACCCCCACATGGACCACATCCACGTGGGCTCACACAGCAGTCCCCTGGATTCCACTCTCCAGCCCAAGGAACCCTACTTCCTTTGTGACCTCGGCCAGCTTCTAAAACCGATGGCAAGTCTCAGGCCTCGAACATGTGGGAACATTAAGAGCTCACACCGACAGCGGGCCTGCTATCTCATGATTAAGAACGTCAAGGGCCAAGGGCCACCAAGATCCCTAGTTTATGGATAAAGAAATCGAGGCCGCACGAAGTTAAGTAACTTGCCCAGCACGGCAGAGCTAGGAAGTATGTGCTCAGGCAACCCGACCTGATGCTCTGCGGCCGCGTCAGCACCGAGGGCTGAGCCCCGCTGGGACGACATGTCCGCCACGGAAACCACCACGCACTCAGTTTACCCTCTGCCGCCTTCTCAGATTACACACCCACAAACTTGATGAGAAGGCAGGAGGAATGAGATTTAATGTGTGTAGATGGCCCAATACATAGCAGCTATTTCAATGATAAAATAATTATTTTTATTAGTTGAGACTAGGAGGAGAGTTCTTTGCAGTACGCACACGGGAGCCACAGTGACCCTGACACTGAGACTCATGTTTACCAGTTTTGTTCCTGATGGTGAGACAGCATCCCTGCCCTCAAGGTGGTTCTGGCAATTCAGTTTTACCCCGAATGACTAGACTTTCCTTTTAGTTTTGCTTGGGGAAAACATTTTCTTGCCAACCAGGTTTGGGAAGTTGAGGTTTTCATTGCGTTCTTCCCTCTGTCACTCCCAGCAAAGTGGAGGGAAGGGAGAAGGACTACTTGAGAGACAGTCGAAGCAGGGAGGTTCGGCGAGGACTGTGACTTCTGATGGCTGTCTCCCAGGGGCATCATGGGGAGGTGGTGGGGGCGAAGGGCACGGGGCACTTTCCCAAAGAGTGTTTCATGGGGCACTGGTTGTTTGGGTCAATGACAAACCTTTGAAAGAAAAGTTCTGTGGTTGCTTTAACTTAGTCAGTGGTTCTCAAAATGTGGTCCCAGGTCAGGGGCATCCATGTCACCGAGGAAACCGTTGGAAATGTGTGTGCTGGGGCCTCCCCAGGCTGTGTTTTAGCCAGTCCTGGAGGTGCTGCAGCTGCAGGCTCAGGTTTGAGAACCACTAATTTAAGGGAATGCTGGTTTGAATAAACCCTCAGCTTTCCATCCTGTGGACTTCATTGCAACCTCTAATAGGCCCAATGCTGACTGTGACTTCAAGAAGGAAATAAAAAAGAAGTTTCCTTCCAAGTGCCTTTGTCTGCAGAGGCCTCTTTCCATGGAGCGTCCCTGGGGATGCAGGTCTGTGGCCACAGCAGGTCAGGCACGCAGAGCGGCATTTCTAGGGGGGCCTACAGCTGGAGATTGCTCCGTGCGGCTCCAGGTGAGGCCTACGGAATGCTCCGCGGGCCCTGGAGAGTAGTTCTGAGCGCGGGCTCTGGGCTGTCATGGAACACCAATATTAAAAAAGAAAAGGCTGACAGGCAATTGTGGAACCCACTCCCTCAGCACAGGGAGAACTTGGCCCAAGGCTTGGGAGCAGCCAGATGATGTTGGCCGCGTAGTAATCATTGTTTCCACAAGGTGGCGCCCCTGGCTGTAATTATTTTTAGTAGAACTGCAATATTGACTCTGGCTGCCAAATGGAATTGAAACCTATGTTACACAGTTTACATAGATGGTTCCCTAATGATCATGCTTCATGTCCAACCATGTTTTGGGCAGTTAATTATTTTTTTGTTCCTCTGGGTCACTGAAACATAATAATATACGGACCCTGGAGGGCAGGGGTAGGGAGGAGCATTACAATGTCAGGGCACATTCTAAAGCACGTGTGCTGTCTCTCAGCTGTCTTCATCCCCTTCGGTGCAAAGAAAAATACGTAATGATTACTTTATGAGCAATCAATCAGATTAGAGGTAATTAACTGGCTTAGAGACAAGAGGGAGTGAGACTGTTTTGTTTTTTCCCCCACAGACAAAAATATAACGCTGGCAGCTTAAAACAAAGAGATCAGGAAACTCAGATTTTCCTGGGAAGTCACAGTTAGATGTTTCTGCCTTTCCCAAGGAGAAGCAGATTGAGCTGCTTCCTTATATTCTGATTTGGATAGGGTTTAGCAAATAAAAATATAGGATGCCCAATCAGAGGTGAATTTCAGATCAACAACAAATACTTTTTAGAATAAGTATGCTGCATGTGGTGTTTAAAACACAGTAAAAAAAAAATGTTCCTTGTTTATTTAAAATTCAAATGTAACTGGGCATCCCATATTCTGTCTGGCAGCCCTGCTTTGGAATAACTCCCCACTCTCCAGTTCTCTTCCCTGCCCCCCACCCCCAATCCTGAGGGGACCCTGAGGCAGGGTCGTGGCTGGGTGGGACCAGGGCCATGACCTCGCGAGGTTCCCACTTGTCCACAGGTTCGGCTCCTGCTGCGTATTCTCAGGACTTCGGAGGGAAGATGTGAAGAGCGTGGTTTCTGTCCCGGCTGAACATTAGAATCACCAGAGATTTGTCAGCGACTCTGGGGGGCGGGCACTTGCGGTTTAAACTTTCCCAGGTGCTTCTGACGTACACCCAGGCCGAGGTCAGGGCTCCTCGCACTGGGCGGTGCGGGTGAACCACGTGGCAGCTTTGTCCAGCTGCAGAAGCTGACTCACCGGCTCTGGGGCCCCAGAAACTGCATTTTCCACAAGCCCCCAGGTGATCCTGATGCTATCTCTATGGACCGAACTTTGAGTAGCAAGATTTTAGAGCATGAAAAACTGATTATTGTGGAACCCATGAGTGTTTCTCTAACTCTTCAGAAATTTCCTGTTATCCTTTCCTTTCAGCCCCGTTTGTATTTCAGTTTTTCTTCAACATCCTTTTCCCTAAGTTCACAAGAGTGACTCTGGTGTTGGCTAATACAGGGTGTCAGACACACACTGGCCTAGTGGCCTCTGACTGCTTACTGGCCAGCACCCTTCTGATGACCTGGACAGGTCACAGGCCTGCACAAACCCGGAGAATCCACCGGGAGCCCTTCTCACCTGCACAGCCGTCACCTTCGACTGCTTGACTGCCTGCACTTGCTGACATCTGCCAAATGGCTTGTGGGGGTGGGGCAGCACATCGGTCCCACGCCGAGGCCGGGGTGCAGGGGAGGACGGAGGGCAGAAAGAGAAGACAGAACCCATCCCCGGCTAACAGGCAACCTTACCGGTGACTTCTTAATGTCGGAGACGGCATAGTTCCCTTGCGATATCCATCTGGCAGATTCCGTTAAAGACAGGCCTGTTCCGTAAAGGTTGATGCTAAAACGACCCTGGAAAAATGGCCAACGAGAACGATTTTTAGTGCATGCGATGTCCCAAGCAAAGGCCACACAATACAAGGTAACTTGGAAAGCAGACGGGTAGTAATTAACAATGGCTACTAATTATTGAGGGTGTTTAGTTTGGAGGGGGTAGATCTGGCCCAGACACTTTACAAGAGCCATCTCATCCATCTTCGCAAGACGCCATGTAAGTTTTCTTTACAGTCGGGGAAACTGAGGCCCAGCAGAGGTGATTCCCTTCTTCAGAATGCAGCACGAGTCCAGCTCACATTTTCCTGACTTCAGAGTCTTCACTCTCAACCTAACGCAGCAATCCTGATGTTGCTCCTAATTATCAGATTCCTTCAGGAACAAAATGCCACAGTGTAATTTTTCTAACAAGATCTCGCTGCCAAAGCTGCCCGGGCTTCAGCTCCCCGGGCGCGGCGCTCAAGCACAGCAGGGCGGGACTTCAAAGGCGGGGCGCGGTCTCCGGCACGGCCAGCAGAGGGCGCGCGCGGCGTGCTCGGCCCCTGGGACCGGCCCCGCTGGCCCGAACCGCACCGCCCTGGCCGCTCCCGGTTCCTCCGGAAACATGTCCCTGGGCTGTTTCCATACTTCTTTCTAAGGAGGCGGTGCAGCAGCGATTCGCCCTGGCTTTCCCTCTCCCTCGGTTCTCTCCCTCTCTTGCACGGCGGCAGTGAGACGCTGGACACGTTTAGCCTCCAGGAACCTTAGCTCGTCCTGTTTTCTAGGTCAGGTACGAGCAGAGCGGAGCTGCAGGCTCCTGATGGTGTTGGCTCTCCCTGCCAGGTGCTTCCCGAGTCCAGCTGAATTAGGCTCTGATTTGTGACATCCGCCAGGCCACGGGGGCAGCCTCCCTGTCGTGGGTCCTGATATATAAATTAACTTTATCTGATCTAACCTGTGAACAGGAGGGGTTAGACAGAAGGTATAAACACCCAACATTACCTGGCAGAGAGTAGCAGAGTTGCACTGTGTGCTGGGATTCTTCTCTGACAGCACTCAGCGTTGCCTGTTGCTGGCCTGAGCGGCCTGGGCACCTGAGGGCGCTGTACTGGGCACAGCCCTCCCTGCCCAGCCCCCTCAGGACTGGCTTCTGCGTGCTGGGCTGTCCCCCAGGCGTTTCTCTCTCATGATCATCCCTGCCCTGAGGACAGCGCCCACACCCCTCTGGTGCCCAGATCTGCTATTGCCAAGGACCCCTCTCACTTCTCCCTGCCGACCTGCTTCCCAGGGGCACTACCTGGCCCACCTGCATGGCAGAAGGTAGGCGTGATCTGCTGAGATGTCCAAGTTTCTAGAAGGTCCAGGCCACTGACCTGGCTACTGGCCCAAGAACACCCCCCCTCCCCCCAGTGTTCAGGGTCTGAGCACACTCCATGTGGAGACCCCGGCCCCTCTGAGAGCAGATGACAACCTGAAGGAACACATCTACCTCCTTGTTCTTTCTCCTCTTCTGGCTCAGGGATTGGCACTGTCAGCAGGGGTCCTGGCTGATGATCAGCACTCTAAAGTTGACCATCACCAGAGGGGTAAAGACCTCCGTCCTTTCTAGCTCTAGTCAGGGGCATCTTAGCCTCCACGGCCTTATCTTCAGGGTCTAAGGGCATGGAGTTTTAGTGCTGCCTTCTGTGGCTGGTTTAAAAGAGAAAAACTGAGAGTCATGCATACACTAGATGACCCAGAAAGTTTTTCCAAAGATGTGCCTTGGACAGAGATCTTGCTCTCTGTTTGGACAAGAGTGAACACAGCAGAAATCTTGCCTGGAAACAGGATCAGCCAGACAAGTAAGTCTGCCCTTTGTGCTCAGACACCTGGGATCAAATCCAGCCTCTACTGAGCACCAGCTGCATGGGTTTGGACAAGTTACCCAACCTTTCTACACCTCAGTGTCCCATCTGTCAATGGGCAGCATTCTTATAGGACGCTGTGGGATTAAATGGTACACTGACTTAGAAATGCTGAGCACAGGGCCGAACGCCTAGTAAAAAACTCAATAGCTATTAATACCAGCATCAAAAAAATTAATAATAATGTCACATCCACTGTGATCAGGATTTTTAAAGAAAGATATTCTGTCTATATCTTCAGGTGAGTGCTCTTGGGGAACCCACCCTTATTGATAAATAAATCCCCAAAGCAACAGCAATGGATGAGGAGAAAGAAGCACACTGTCAAACAGAGACGGCCCCTCAGCTCCGATTCTCTGCAGTCATGAGGACAGGGAAAACCACCAGCTCTCAAGCAGCTCCAAGGGTTGTGCTTTCCAGACCTTTCCTGGAAAACTGATTTGAAAACTCGGGTCTTTCATCTGTATAGCTGGTGCTCAATAAACATCTAAGGAAAAGAATTCTTTAAGCATCCAATATGGTTTGAAGAATGGGCTGCTTCAGTGTCAGGATTTAGCAAATCAATCCGTTCATTTGTCTCTAAATTATTAAAATGAATGAACACAAATTTATGTAAGTTTCCCAAAAGATGCTCATATAGAAGGGAGAGAACCCTGGGACATTTGAAAGAGGCAGGGCAGGGCCAATCTATTAGCTGTTAAAATGCAACCCTTACCAGGGGGGTGTGCGAAGTCATCCACTGCTCTAAAAGAAACTACCCTTCAGAAGTTTTCAGTTCTGGGTAATGGAGAAAAGGCCTTTTTACCATTCTGCCCTCTGTTTATTTTCTTTCTCCCCTGAGAGCTTCCTTTCCACTTCTCTAAAACGGTTAGCAATGCTTTCTAAAGCTGGGACTGAGAAAACACTTCCTTAAAAGAAAAGTCAGATGTGTTTGTTTGTGGATGGTCCCTGTGGTTGGGCATAAATCTACCCAGGGATGCAGGAGGCAGCCCCCAGTCCCGGGGCCCACGCTTTCCAAGGTGCACAGGCAGAGTGGGAAATTCTGGACCTCCCGCGAACCAAAGAAAATGCAGGGCCCAGTTCTCCTGTCCGGAGGATGAGTTCTCCAACTCGTTGTTTGTCCTGGCTTCTCATTGCAGAGGCTTCTTGCAAAGAATGATGGCTGTTTTACCATCATTCTTTACCATCATGCACAGGCCGCGGTTCCAGCGGGTTTCAGCAGGTAAGTAAACCTGCCGCACCTCTGAAGAGGCAAGAAAGTGTGGAGCTGCAGCTGGGGCAGGAAGATTGCCGGTCAGCTGTGCTGCTGAAGAGCGAATGCAGTGGAGGATGACACATCTGCACTTCTCCGTCTGAACTCTGCACGTTTTAGATGTCTGAAGTCGGGTGACAGCTTTTTTATATCATGTAATAGGTGGTATTGGAGTCCGCTTGTACTGGCTTTTGGGAGCTGATTGTATCTTTCCCCAACTCTTCATTTAGTGACAACGTAATGTTGATGGCTTGAAATCAGTCATGTGTGGGAGGAGGAAGATATTTACACATGGAAACAGGCAAATACTACAAAGCAGAGCTACAGTTTTCTTTCTCTTAGAGAGCCAACCATTAAACATTTACCAGCATGTCACTGCCTTCATCATATTCATTTCATTAGCCACCATCTTTTGCTTAACCAAGCTGTTTGCTCTCCAACATCTAATTTGTTTCTCAGTTTTTACCATTGTAATAGATGCATTCTGCTGAGTGCAGAGGTCTGCATGTAGCTGTGCTCATTCCCTTAGGAAACACTCCTAGCAGTGGAATTAGACAGGATGAGGAGCTGAGAGCATTTGAGGGGCTCCTGATGCAGCGACCAAGCTGCCGGAACAGCTGTTCCAGTTACACTCCCAGGAGCAGGAGCCGCAGGCCCCCAGGGACAGACTCCCAGCACGTACCTGTGGGCACTTGGCGGCACTGTAGCAGTCCCCAGCTGTGGCGAAAGGCACGGGATGCCCTTCACTTGTCCTTGCAAACTGTAAGTCGGTGGCTGTGGGGTTTGGAGAAGGGTTCAAGGGAGAAGAGAGGTGACAGTGGGAAAGAGGTAGGGAAAGGCCAGGATATTAACAAGGAATGAGAAGGGAATAAGAATAGCAAACGAAATAATGAGAGGGAGTGGGAGAGAAAAAAACAGAGTATGATTAGTGAGCGAATGGATCCAGATGTGCTCGGGCTCGCTCCTCATTATACTGTGGTTCCGAGAGCCTCTCCCTGTGGTTTATCAGCCCTGACTGTCTCCGCACAGCATGGAAGCCAAGAAAGGGGGCTCAAGATGACTGTGCAATCAATTCCCATGTAAATAAATATATGAACCACCTCGCTTAAGCATACTGTACGGGATGGCTGAGAACCTCCTGTACACAGCCCCAGGCCCCGGGCACGGAGTCCGGAGAGCTTGCGGCTACTCGCAGTTCCTGGAGCTACTCCCCGGGCTCAGCTGGCCTCCGTGGCCTAGGCACGCTCACTGCCAAAGTGTGCCGCAAGTAGAACCCGCATCTTGAACGTATTAACGGCAGTTTCTCAAGTTGAGGTTAACTTGTAGTTTTTTTTTTTTAAGGCCAATAAAAACAACGCTCGTGTTTTTAACTGTCTTGTAGCTCTTGAGACCAGCTCTGCAAATGGAGAAGGCCGTCAGGAGAGAGACCGAGACGCCCACAAACGGAACTGGAGGCCAGAGGCAGCGTTTTACCTTTCTGCCTTGTCTTTCTGGAACCTTCCTGCAGTTAACCACATTTTGGTGGGAGGGAAACCTGAGTCCCCCCGGCCTGCTGGAAGGGGCCCTGGCAGAAGCCCTGGGCCTTAGCTGGGGGGCAGAGGGGGTGTGTAGGCTGTTTCTAAGTAAGAAACCGTAGACCCTCTGCTGTTAGCCCTAATGTTCCCCCTAAAAGCAATTGAAACTAGCTTGGTACCAATCAAGTGCACCTGCCTCCAGAGGAAAAAAGTGCCATGTTATGGGCACAATGTTAATGAGGAAAAATTAATTATTCATTATTCCTGTTTCTCCTCTATTCAGGAGAGCATGTTTGGCTACTTGAGTTGTCCTGAACCATCCTATGATTAATGCCCCTAACAAAAATGCAGTGTCGGCCAGAGTATAAAAGCAGCCCGTGCACGGGCCGGTTTAAAATAAGGCAGTTGTGCGCTCCGTGCTTCTTGTGGAAATCAGCGATCAGATGAAATCATTCTGTGCCCGTGCGTGTGCACACTGCTGGTGTGAGCTCTGCCACCCGGGCCCCCTCTGCCTGGCTAACTCCTACTTGACCTCAAGGACTCAATTTTGATGTCATATTTTGGGGACACTGCCCTGCCTCGGCCACTGCAGTGGGGCCCCTTCAATATGCTTCCATCTCCTCAGCCAGCCATTCCTCAGGCCCGAGGGGCACCCTCCCTGGGCACCGCAGGGAGCAGGAAGGAGCAGCCGCACCCGCAGGGCCTTAGGACAATCGGTCTTGTCCGGCTCCCATCCTCAGCCCCCGCCCCCTCACTAGATGAGGGGAGCCGCTGAGGAGCATACCCCGCGTGACACCCCCCGAACATACTTATTATCTGCATGCTGCTCAGGTCTATCCTGACTTTCTGGAAGCTGGAAAACCCAGCTGCTGTGTAGTCCTTCCGACACTGGCAGTCGTCGCGTCGGCTCCCGTTGTAGGGACACTCGGTCGGGTTGTGCAGCCTGTGTCGGGGAGACAGTGTTCTGGTGAGGATGGGACGGAGCTTCCCGGGCAGAGCCTGGGCCCTCGAGCCTGTGCGCCCTACCTGTGCCCGTAAACCTCGGAGAAGTTCTCAGAGTCCCCGCGGACCAGTGTCAGGTACTCCTTGGGGTGGGCGGACTGCATCCCCGCACAGAATATCTGAAAGGAGACCAGAGGGTCCATGGGGCAGCTCAGAAACGGGGCGCTCCCCAGACACCTGGAAACAAGGGCTGGCGCTGGTGTTCACCTTCAGGGGCTTTCCTTTGACGGCCAGGACGTACTCGCCGTCCTCGGTGGCCCCGTTCAGCCTTTTCACCTCCCTGCAGGTCTGGGGTAACTCGCCTAGAAAACACGAGACGCGGCGTGACGTGTGATGCTCCGAGGTGGGCCACGCCCGCCGGTGGCACCAACGCCTGTTCACGCTGCGGTTTTTCAGCAAAGGGGACAATTCCTTTAAAGTAAGTTTTATATTTCTGAAGTGGGCGGGCAAACAGATGCACAGAGAAGCCCCGTTCACGCTTCTAGAAGACGCTTCCCTTGGCCAACTTACAGTTATAGATGTTATGGCAAGGTTTCCTCTCTTCCGGCTTCAGATCTGCAGGGCACAAGTGGCTGGGCTGGTCCTCGTTGGTTAAACATTGCACGGATCTGTGTCTCACCCCGACACCGCAGGACACGGAGCACTACCAGGCAGAGCAGAGCCAGCACGTGGGTGTGGGCCCGGTGGCTGCGCCCCGTGGTGGCTCAGGGCCCGGTGGCTGTGCCCCGTGGTGGCTCAGGGCCCGGTGGCTGCGCCCCGTGGTGGCTCAGGGCCCGGTGGCTGTGCCCCGTGGTGGCTCAGGGCCCGGTGGCTGCGCCCCGTGGTGGCTCAGGGCCCAGTGGCTGTGCCCCGTGGTGGCTCAGGGCCCGGTGGCTGTGCAGGGCATCGTTTCTGACCCTCTGTTGCTGAAACGAGCAGCTGACCTGTTGAGCAGTCACTATGGACCTGCCCCAGGGCTGAGCTTTACGTGTACATTTATGCAGACCTACCTACCTACAGTTACATATGTGCTTACACATATGATATACATAATTGTATATTCTCACTTAAGCCTTACAGTAACCCTAAGATAGCACTTCCGTTATTCTAATTTTGCAGAGCAGAGGTTAGGACTCAGATGTTAAACTTGTTCAAGGTCATGGTGGAACCCTGGTTCAAACACTGACCACTTACAGCTGGTTCTACACTTCTGCCCGATTGCTCTGCCGCACTGACCAATCAGGGGCCGGGGGCTGTGGAGACTTCCCAGGGCAGCTCCAGTGTAAATATTCTCACTCGTACCCCTAATGCAAGAATTAATTCCCGATGCAGAAGGACTAGACCACACAGACTTTTTAGCAACAAACACAAGTAACACTATCTTAGGTGCTTTATAATTTCCAACTGTGGAAAATGTCCGCACCCCAAGTGTGTCATTATACCCTAAGTGCCTTTTCTGTAGTAACTCTTTCTTCTTCACAAACACCCATTTTGCAGGTGAGGGAACGGAGACCAGAGGTTCGGCACTTGCCCAAGGTCATTCGCCTGGGAAGGGGCGGAACCAGGTCAGCCGAGGCCGCCTGGCTCCGGAGTGCGTGTGCTCAGCCCGGGGCCACACCGCCCACAAGCCCATTTCACGGTGCTCACTGCCCTTTCTCACAGGGTCTCTTCTAGAAGGAGAATGACGTGGGGGGTCAGGCAGGCCATGTTGAAGATGGGGTTTTTGATCCCAAAGCTTTGTGATTTGATAACTCCACCATCTACTTACGCTCCCCCAGTTGCCCACTCTCCAGGTGGCAGAGATGGGGCAGTCCCTCAGGTAGCAGGGGTGGACGCTGGGGGGCTGCGTGCCCGGGCAGTTGGTGGCGGTTTGGTGGCCGTACTCATAATTCTCCTTCCCGGTGTAAATCTCGCTACAGGAGACGAGCCTTTGTTTGTAGCCCTTTCCACAGGTCACTGAGCACTGAGGAGAGATGGGTTTCGGGGGGAGGCTGGAGCAGGGCGGGGGCAGCCGCAGTGACCCTGCCCCCCACCTGGCACGCCACACTGCGCCAGCCAGTGCTGTGGAGGCTCAGTGATCAGCAGCAGTGCCCAGCACAGGGAGAGGCACCCATGCGACACCTTCTGCTCTAGGGCTCCCACCACCCCTCCACTGCGGCGTGGGGGTGGCTCCAGCCCTCCCTCTGGATTTCAGGGGGGAGGGGGTTTGAGGGGGTGTGTGTGAGGGGAGCTCCAACTGTCATTGGCTCAATTTATAGCCTCCGCCGCCCACACACTGGCGTTTCCAAACCTACAGTGACCACATCAGAGAGGTGACCGAGTGGCAGGACAGACAGCCAGAGCCCGCCGAGCTGAGTGTAAAATCCGAGCTCTTCGAGGAAAGGGGGCCCTGGGACTGGTCCCCTTTCCTACTCCATGTGGTCTGCTTTTCCTCCTGACCTATACCTAGTTTCCCACTCTCTCCCCGTCCCTGGCTACGTACACTGACGGAAATGTTCTCTCTCTCTCTCTCTCTTCTCTCCCTTTCTCTCTCTGTCTCTCTCTCGCAGTCATTCAGCCCTTTTGCCATAATTAGAATGCATTTAATTATGAGATACAGAATAGGAGAAGAACCAACTGTCTTACTAGTGTCCCATTTTGTGATGGACATCTAATTGATTATTCATGTTATAATCTCTTCAACCTCCCTAGCTAAGTATTTTATATATTATTTAAAAATAACTCTGAAATACAAAGAATTTAGTTTTGCTGGTATTTTTAGCCCAAGTCATGAAATAAGTGGCCGGCCCCTGGGCTGAGAGCCACCTAGGTAAGGGAGAACGGGAGGCCTGGAGACCACAGGCTCTGCGGAGCCGGGAGCCCGAGATGGGAGGCGGCACGAGGTGTGTGATGCTCTTCCGGCCGCGGGCCCACAGCTGCCATCAGCGCTCACTGGCTCTTAAAAGGCGCAGTGCTGCTCTTTCCTAACGTCTCCTGGGCTGTGACCTTAAGCCATGTGGCTGTCCTTCCCCGAAACTCCTCCGGGAAGAAGGCTTTTCCTGAAGACCCGCCAGAAGCAGGAGGGCACAGGCCCGCAGAGGCAGGCGGTCCTCCCAGCTGGCTGGAGCCCGGTGCTCTGCACACGGTTCCTTCTTTGGCAGCCGCTGTCCAAGTGCCCGCAGACCTGGTGACGCCAGCCAGGGGAGCGCGAGGCTAGTCTGGGGTGTGCCACGTGTGGACACGTGGCTCACGAATGCCCTGTCCAAGCTGCGGGCATTTCAGAGTTCTGCCCGCGCTGGTGCGCGTCACCTCAGTCGTCTGGCTCTGAACACGCTGTGGCCTGAGAGGCGAGTGCCAAGAGCAGCCCAGGGCAGCCCAGTGGCCCTGTGTGGGGGGCACAGTGGCAGATGGGCATTTGTTGAGGGAACTGAGCCCAAATATGGTCAGGTTGGTTCAGAGGCCTCCCCATCTCTGAAGAGAATCTGGAAAAAGCACATTGCCGCTGGCGGCCTCACTGCATTTCAAACCGGAGTTCTGATGTGTGGCGGGCTGATCCCTGGGGAGGGGAGGGCGGAGGGCGGAGGGTGGGGAAGGTTTGACTGTGGATTCCCCTGGCGTTGGGGTCGCGTGCTTGTTCCATCAGGAATGTGAGTTCCTTTTCTAATTTGAAAACTGCAGTCAAGTAAAATGAAACCATGAGAATGTGGACTCCTGGCCTGTGATACACTTCAGGCCCAACAGGGGAATGCACCTCCAGGGCTGAGGGAACGCGCCGCCTTCTATTCGGTGGGCCGAGCAGAGCGGAGCACCAGAACCCCAGGGAACAGGGCTCTCCTGAGGGAATTCGGGTCCCATTCCTGTGACACCATTCCCTCAGGGACCCTTCCCCATGGTCCTTGTACCTGTGTGAAGTCCTGTCTCCAACCCTCTAAACTTTGCTTGTACATCTGCAGATGCTTTTCAATCTATAATACATCTGAGAATTTGTGGAGGTATAAAAGGCTGTTAAAAAGTCTTCTCCCTATCTCAGCATTTAGAGGTTAAGATTAAGGTTTTATTAACCCTATAGGAACAACATGACTCAAGTCTTAGAAAGAGACCAGAACTCTTTTAACAGAGTAATGACAACACACCGAAGACTGGCTAAGATGAGTGTCCTGGCACAGCAGGGGGTTAGCAGCACTCCCGGACTCTACGTGATGACAGGGGCACCTCACTTTCCCCAGTGCGACAAGCAAAAATGTCTCAAGACATTGCCAAATGCCCTCTGGGAGGGAGGGGAGACAGTCACTGGAGTGGAGAGGAGGATGGAGGCAGAGTCAGAAAAGACGGACCACCACTGCGCAGAAGCAGCTCAGCACGCGGCACATGTGGAGTCCGGTGACAGTGCGCGTGCCTGCCAGGAGCCCAGACGCTTCCCCTTCACACCTCCCCATTCTTCTGGGCAAAGGACAACTTTTGGATGTTATAGTCTGTTAGTATTTGAAAATATCATGAAGTTTGAAAATAATATAATCGTGCTATTGTTACTGTTGGTGGATTAATAATAAAAAGTGTCCAGACAGGCACCATACGCAGACTGGAGATGCCTGGGATATTATGGGAACGTATTTTGTTCCTCTGATCAGAGGTTGTTAATCTGGCCCATGAATGTGTTTGCTTTGCCCCACACAATGTTTCTACCAAATAATGTGAGTCCACATTGGAAAATGAGGAGATCTCACATAAAATTCCAGCTTTTGTCTTTTCTTGAGAAGTCAGGTTTGGTGAGACTGGACCCACGTGTCTGCAGGGCCTGGAAGTGCGACAGCCGGCCATGGTCACGGCGTGCAGGGCGTCCTAGCTCCCCTCCCCGCCGCCCTCCCGGTGTGCAGGGCGTCCTAGCTGCCCTCCCCGCCGCCCTCCCGGTGTGCAGGGCGTCCTAGCTGCCCTCCCCGCCGCCCTCCCGGTGTGCAGGGCGTCCTAGCTGCCCTCCCCCGCCGCCCTTCCGGTGTGCAGGGCGTCCTAGCTGCCCTCCCCCGCCGCCCTCCCGGTGTGCAGGGCGTCCTAGCTGCCCTCCCCCGCCGCCCTCCCGGTGTGCAGGGCGTCCTAGCTCCGCTCCCCGCCGCCCTCCCGGTGTGCAGGGCGTCCTAGCTCCCCTCCCCGCCGCCCTCCCGGTGTGCAGGGCGTCCTAGCTGCCTCCCCCGCCGCCCTCCCGGTGTGCAGGGGTCCTAGCTGCCCCTCCCGGTGTGCAGGGCGTCCTAGCTGCCCTCCCCCGCCGCCCTCCCGGTGTGCAGGGCGTCCTAGCTCCGCTCCCCGCCGCCCTCCCGGTGTGCAGGGCGTCCTAGCTGCCCTCCCCCGCTGCCCTCCCGGTGTGCAGGGCGTCCTAGCTGCCCTCCCCCGCCGCCCTCCCGGTGTGCAGGGCGTCCTAGCTGCCCTCCCGGTGTGCAGGGCGTCCTAGCTGCCCTCCCCCGCCGCCCTCCCGGTGTGCAGGGCGTCCTAGCTCCGCTCCCCGCCGCCCTCCCGGTGTGCAGGGCGTCCTAGCTGCCCTCCCCCGCCGCCCTCCCGGTGTGCAGGGCGTCCTAGCTCCCCTCCCCGCTGCCCTCCCGGTGTGCAGGGCGTCCTAGCTCCCCTCCCCCGCCGCCCTCCCGGTGTGCAGGGTGTCCTAGCTCCCCTCTCCCGCTGCCCTCCTGGTGCAGGGCGTCCTAGCTCCCCTCCCCTGCTGCCTTCCTGACACTGAGACACTTCCTTAGACTCCCTTTGCAGGCACCGCCATGGAATCATGTCACCAAGCATACCAGCGGGACACAATGTGAACCACAGAAGAGCTGGGGGGAGCTTGACCACCTCAGACACCCCCGCGCAGGGTGCACGCGTGGGACTCTGGCCCTGGAGGCCGAGGGGTGGCCTGAGGACTCCGGGCTCAGGGGTAGACTGGCAGGTGGGTGCGCCTCCCACATTCCTGTGTTCACTACTCCGTTCCCCTCAGGCCACTGTTGACCTGAGGGCAGAAACAGAATCCCGGGACGCACCTCTGACCACTCTCCGGTGATCCAGACATACTCGCAGGGTTGCAAGGTGCAGCTCTCACGGTCCGCGGGCCGCTGGCTCCGGTCGCAGTGCGCGCCGTGCACCTCGCCGCCCGTGTCCTCGCCCACGCACACCACCCTGCGGTACCGGGAGCCTTCGCCACACGTCTTGGAGCACTGCCAGAGAGAAACAAACGGAGTGAGGATGGTATATATTGTGTCACCTGTTGTAGAGAGAAGAACGGTACCCTGTTGCTGAATTGTTTGTTTTCCTGTCCAGAAGCCCTGGGAGACTGTGAGATCTCCGAGGGCGGGCTGATCGGAGAAGTCACCGTTTAGTACCTGTGACACTGCCCGGGCGCAGCAGGAGCTCCCGCCAGATGGCTGGCGCAGGGCAGGGATGGGATCGGGAAGGAATTCCATCCAGGTCTGGAAAGGCGCTGAAGGAAGGACTGTTTACTTCGAACACCCACTCAAACATAGAATCTTTTAAAAATTGTCCAAATGGTTTTCAAACTATTATTTAACCACTTCCCCGATTTGAGAGATGACTAAATACCTCTCAAGTCAGGAAAGTCATTACCTGTCCAAGTGCCCATTTGGGAACAGAACTAGGCGTATCTCTGCAGGGCCAGCCCCTTGCCCGAGTGGTGGGTTCCAGGGAGGACACTTTCCCTTTCTCACCGGTGGTCCCCCTCCAAGGACATGAGGAGAGCTTTCTCGGGCCCCCATGGCCCTTTCTTCTCCAGGTGACCTGCTCTCGTCCTTGGTCATTCAGCAGATATTCACTAAGTTCCTAATAGGTGTCAGGCCCTGGGCTGGGTCCTGGGTGACCCCGAGCGCCCACGGAGGCACAGACCCTGCTCCCACAAAGGAGCATGTGTATTTTAGTAGCAAAGACGACATTAACGGCGGAGCGCTAGGGAGTGAGTTAGCAGTTGCTATGATCTCCATTTTTCCTATGAAGAAACTGGGACTTAGAAAGACCAAGTGATTTGGCCCAGGTCACACGTCTTTGTGAGGTAGGAGGGACTGATCATTGTGTTCCCGTGAGCCAAGTGAGGAAAACAGAGCAGCCGGTGTGTTTTGTCCCAGGATGATCTATCCCTACACTGTCCACTGGAGTTTGGGAGCCGATTTAACTCAAAATTCTCTCCTGAGAAAACTGGACAGATACATGCAAAAGAAAAAAAAAGAGTAAAGAAACTAGACCACCTTCTTACACCAAATACAAGAATAAACTCAAAGTGGATTAAACATTTCAGTGTAAGACCCCAAACCAGAAAACTCCGAGCAGAAAACATGTTGGACATTTCTCTTAGCAATAACTTTTTCTAATATGTCTCCTTAGAAAAGGGGAACAAAAGGAAAAGTAGATACGTGGGACTACAACAAACTAACACTTTTTGCACAGCAGGGATCCATCAACAAAATGAAAAGATCTCCTACTGAATGAGAGGAGATATTTGCCAATGATACATCTGATAAAAGGTTAATATCCAAAATTAATTAAATTATTTATTTATGGTACGTGCCCCTAGCGGGAACCGAACCCAGGACTCTCTAGTCTGCAGGCCAGTGCTCCAACTGCTCAGCCAAACCGGCCAGGGCAATATCCAAAATTTATAAAGAACTCATACAACTCAACACAAAACCAAAAATAATCCAATTAAAATGGGCAGAGGACCTGAGTAGACACTTCTTTCTCCAAGAGGACACACAGATGGCCAAGAGACATACGAAAAAATACTCAATGTCACTAATTATCAGAGAGATGCAAATTAAAACCACAATGAGATATCACCTCACACCTTTCAAAATAGCTATTAATAAATCCACAAACAAGTGTTGGTGAGGGTGTGGAGGAAGGGGAACCCAATGCACTGCTGGTGGGAATGCACACGGGGGTGGGGGGTGCAGCCACTGTGGAGAGCAGTACGGAGTTCCCTCAGAAAATAAACAGTGGAACTGTTGTTGGACACAGCAATCCTGCTTCTGGGTATATATCTGAAGAAACCCAAAACACCAATCAGAAAAGATACACACACCCATGTTCACTCCAGTGTTCTTTACAATAGATATGGAAGAAACCCGAGAGCCCACCAGCAGACGAGTGGATTAAAAAGTGGTGGCATAGATATGCAATGGAATATTACTCAGTCATAAGAATGAAATCTCACCATTTGTGACAGCATACACAGACCCAGAGGGCATTATGCTTAGTGAAATAAGTCAGTTAGAGACAGACAAATACCACATGATTTCACTTATATGTGGAATCTTAAAAAACAAACTAAACAAACAAACAAAATTGAAACAGACTCGTAGATACAGAGAACAGACGGATGGCTGCCAGATGGGAGGAGAGTTGGGGGACTGGGCAAACAAGATGAAGGGAGTAATAAGTACTAATTGGTACAAAACAGTCATGTCGATATAAAGTACAGCGTAGGGAGTATAGTCAATAACATTGTAATAACAATGGTGCCAGGTGGGTACTGGAAACATCGAGAACACTTTGTAAAGTCTAACCACTATGCTGAACACCTGAAACTAATACAAAATAATACCGAATGTAAACTGTAATGAAAAATAAAATTTAAAATAAATAAATTCTTTCCTGATATGTTTCTGTTTCTTCCCCCGCCCACTCTCGGTAGTAAAATATGCATAACATAATTCATCATTTTAATCATTTTAAAGTGTACAATTCAGTGCCAGTTAGTTATTCACACTGTTGTGCAGTAATTACCATGATCTATCCAAAACATTTCCCTCTCCCTGAATGAAAACCCTGCGCCTTTAAGCAGTCATTTCCCAACCCCCCATCCTCCTAGCCTGTGGCAACCACCGATCTGCTTCCTGTCTCTGTGAATTTGCCTATTCTGGGTATTGCGTAGGAATGGAATTATCCAGTATGTGTCCTTTTGTGATTGGCTTCTTTCACTGAACATAATGTTTTCAAGGTTCTTCCATGTGAAGCATGTATCCTGTTGATGGCTGAATAATAGTCCATTGTAAGGATATACCACTTTATTCAAATGTTGATGTATGTTTGAGTTGCTTCCTTCTGTTCACTATTGTGAGTAGTGCTGCTGTGGACATGCATGTACACTTGTAACACCTGATTTCAATTCTGTTGGGTGCCTCCCAGGAGTGGAAACGAGGGTCCATGGTAGACACGTGTCTGGTGTGCACTGCTGGGTGCCTCCCAGGAGTGGAAACGAGGGTCCATGGTAGACACGTGTCTGGTGTGCACTGTTGGGTGCCTCCCAGGAGTGGAAACGAGGGTCCATGGTAGACACGTGTCTGGTGTGCACTGTTGGGTGCCTCCCAGGAGTGGAAACGAGGGTCCATGGTTGACATGTGTCTGGTGTGCACTGTTGGGTGCCTCCCAGGAGTGGAAACAAGGGTCAACAGTGGACTCATGTCTGGTGTGCACCGCTTTGCTCTTCAGGCTGTAGAAGGGATGTGGTGTGTCCTGGTAACCCCTTATCATTTGCAAACTTAACTCTAAATTTGGTTCTGCTGCTTGGGAGAACCCCTCGATATCTAGAATGTGAAGTTATTTGTAACTTTTCTGGGGCACAAACATGAATGAAAAGCACCAGGGGACGAGCATGAGGAGCCAATCCCTTCCAAGCAGTGCAGGAGGCTGGCTGGCCCCACTCCCAGCTGAACCCTGGTTCAGTGCTTTTGGGGTTTTCTGTGTCCCTGGAGGGTGCCAGAAATGATTGTGAAGTAACAATATTCTTGTTTCTTCATTTAGAAAATGCCAAACAGGTTAGGGAGCCACTGAGTTAGTTACAAAAGAAAACAGAATGTGTAATCCATGGTGTGTACACGAACGCAGGAGAAATGCTTGACTCCCCTAGAAATCAGGACTCGGTGACTCAGACGACCACGGCTGAGCAGCCAACCCGCACGGGGCCTTCCCGTGTCCCGTCATTGTCACCAATCGCAGGGCTTTCTTCTGTGTCAATGAGTAACAGTTCAGAGCAGCAATGCAGGATTACTAGAGACTCCTGCTTGTTAAGTGTTTCTCTCCTGGGTTGGAAGAATGTTTAACTACCATAAAAACCCTTTGGCCAGCGGCGGAGCAGGGCCCTGGGAAAGCTCACCTTGTGTCGACGTAGGAAACAGCCAAACCTGTAGAACACTTAGGAGTTTATTTGAGCCACACTGGTGTCACTTGCCAGGAAAGGAAATCTCAGTGGACTGAGAAAATGCTCCTGAGCATGGCAGCTGTGAAGCTCATTTTACACCTCAGAACCGAGGCGGAGGCTTCGGGGGCTTTATGGACTCCCTGGTGGAGATCAGGGGTCAGGAGAGGGCAAAGCAGGGGAGCCTCTGGGACTGGATGAAAAGTAAAACGGAGAGACACGTGCTTCCTTCACGTGGGGGGACAGGACAGTGATAGTGAACATTTACAGCACAGACATGGTGTTCGGGGAGCAGGGGACGGTGAGGGGCGCTGTGGTCTCTGCTCTGGTGCGCGGCTGTGCCCCGAGGGGTCTGGGAAAGGAGCGGCTCCGACATTCCGCAGGTGTGTCATCTTAGGTGCAGGAAGACAGTGGACAGGCTCCCTTGTGGCAGAGACTGACCTTTGTCAAGGGAGCTCCAGGCCTGGACGTGACCACCCTCATGACTCACTTGTAGTCAGGAAGTTTACGTTCAGACCCCCGGAGTTTGTGAGGCCCCCGTGCTGCCCACCCCCCCCCCCCCGAGCTTGTCAGGGTGAGTATGTGGCCCTTTTTTGGTGCACAACTGAGTATAACCTTTAGAAAAATTAAAGTGAGTGAGTGAGTAAAGTGCTCATGCTTCGGAATCAGTCACAGAAGCTCCGAAAGCGCAGAGCGAGATTTCTGCTGGGGTCCAAGCTGCGACCAGAGCGCGGGCTGGTGGCCAGACAGCAACCCAGCCCCGTGCCTGCGGCTGTGATCAGCCTTGGTAACGTCGCTCCTGCCCTGTGATGGATAAACTCTTCCTGTCTCCTGTCTCCTGGAAAATGATCTACAGTGTCCTGAAAAACAGCTAGAAGGATCAATGAGCCTCCTTTTCATGCCAAAAGGTGTTCTCAGATTTCATCACAGCTCGTAGGGAGAGGCATACCAAGCGCCAAGTGTTCCCCAGCCTCCCGGAATCCCAGCCACAGCGTGTAAACCAGCGACCACAGC